GAGACGGAGTTTCGCTCTTGTTGCCCAGGCTGGAGTGCAATGGCGCGATCTCGGCTCACCGCAACCTCCGCCTCCTGGGTTCAGGCAATTCTCCTGCCTCAGCCTCCTGAGTAGCTGGGATTACAGGCACGCACCACCATGCCCAGCTAATTTTTTGTATTTTTAGTAGAGACGGGGTTTCACCATGTTGACCAGGATGGTCTTGATCTCTTGACCTCGTGATCCACCCGCCTCGGCCTCCCAAAGTGCTGGGATTACAGGTGTGAGCCACCGCGCCCGGCACATTTTTTTTTTCTTAAACTGTTTGAGAGAAAGTGGTTAATGTGATTGTATTACAACCCCTGAAACTTTTGTGTGTGATATCTACCACCAAGATTTTCTTTTTTTTTTTTTTTGGGGGGGGGGGTACTAAATTTCTTTATTTGAAGGAACGGTACAAAGAACTTAAGTGGATGTTTTGGTACAACTTACAGAAAAGGTAAAGGAACCCCCAATATGCATGCACTGCCTTGGTGACCAGGGAAGTCATCCCGTGGCTGTGGGGAAATTCGCCTAAGGCTTAGCTTTCATTATCACTGTCTCCCACGGTGTGCTTGTCAAAGAGATATTCTGCCAAGCCAGACTGGGGTGCTCCCATCTTGCGCAAGTTGGTCACGTGGTCACCCAATTCTTTGATGGATTTCACCTGCTCATTCAGGTAATGTGTCTCAATGAAGTCACACAAGTGGGGGTCATTTTTGTCAGTGGTCAGTTTGTGCAGTTCCAGTAGTAACTGATTCACATTTTTTTCCAAATGTAATGCACACTCCATCGCATTCAGCCCGCTCTCCCAGTCATCATAGTCTGGTTTCTTGATATCCTGAAGGAAGATGCGACCACCTCGTTAGTTCTGCAGCTTCATCAGTTTCTTGGCATGTTCCCTCTCCTCATGAGATTGGTGAAGAAAGTACTTGGCAAAGTTCTTCAAAGCCACATCATCGCGGTCAAAGTAGTAAGACATGGACAGGTAAACACAGGAGGCGTAGAGCTCCAGGTTGATCTGGCGGTTGACGGCGGCCTCTGAATCCTGGTGGTAGTTCTGGCGCACCTGCGAAGGTGATGCGGTTGTCACGGCGGCTGCTAAGGAGAGGCTGCGGCGGCGGTGGCGGCTGCGCGGCGCTGGAGTGGCGGCGGGGGCCTTGGGGCGATCCGAGGACCCGGTGTGGAGGTGACGGAGGGCTGGCTGTGGGCGGCTGGCCGGGGTGGGGGACGAGCGCCGGGTTCCGTCCAAGCACTGTTGAAGCAGGAAACCGCGGCGACTTTGGGCGAAGAACGTCTCCAAGATTTTCTATTGTATTACCTTAAGACAACCATTGAAATCAGAAAATTAAAATTAATGCTTTCCTTTTTCTTATCCAAGACTACTATCTTTGTAGAAAAAAGAATCTAGTTCAAGATCTCACATTGCATTTAGTTGCCAGGTCTATTTCATGTCTTTCAATCTGCAGAATTGCTGATGTTTGGCTTGACTTTCATGAGCTTGTCACTTTTGAAGACATAGGGCAGTTATTTCCTAGAATCTCCCTTATTTTGGGTTTATCTTATATATTCTCATGATTAGATTCATGTTACACAGTATTTTGGATGGGAATATGACAGAAATGTTGCTGTGTTCTTCTCATTGCCTTTTAGCAAGTGATGTGCAATTTCAATTTGTCCCAATTTTGAATATAATAACATTGATTACTTGATTAGGTGATGTCTGTCAGGCTTCTTTGCAGTGTCTGAGCTCCAGCATCCCACACTGGGCTTCCGCTGTCACCCACAACCTCCCTGGACAAATTCTTTCCTCTACCTCTTTGAGTTTTGATTTCCTGTGCCAGGCCACTGCTGCCACTCTGTCTCTTTTCCCCAAATGCTTGTGCCCAACTCTCCTCCTGTGGATGCTACTTACTCCCCCATCAGGTTCTGGCCTTCCTATTCAGTTTCCTACTGGAGTCTCAGTTAATGGCTATTGAAGGAAGTACAAAGGAAGGAGAAAAGGAAAGAAGGGGGAAAAAAGGGAGGGATAGATGGAGAAAAAAATAAAATAAGGAAAGAAGGTCAAAGGATAGCTTTTAATTTAAACCAAAGACATAAAGAATACTGAAATGAATTGTTTTCATCTGGAAAAAGGGCTCAGCGTGATGCTAGCTGAAATAATGTTGGGCACATTATTCTTCCTCATTGCACTCTACAGAAATAATTGCCTTTGCCCAAGACACCACCAACAAAAACAACAGCAAAAAGCATTGCAATATGAACTTGATATTTTTCAGTAAAATACGATTAGAGTATTCTGAAAGTATAGTCAAATCATACCCATTATTAACAAAAGGGCCAACCATATACGCAAATGCATTGTGGCTTTTATGGTGTTAAGATCCCTGAGTCTGTCTCTTTTTATCTGCTATTCAGCTGTTTAATCATTGCTCTCAGGAACTTGGGTATTTTCCTAGCGGGAAGAGGCTCTCATCAATCATTATTTATCCAGGTTATTTTTTTCAATTTATTCTGTACAATACAAATATAAAACTGAAGAACACAACTGTGCTCTTTCTCAAGTTTATACTATGATGCTGTTAACATCTGTCCTTTGCATGAAGGTAACATAGTATAATAGTTACAAGAACTAGTGTAGGGTCAAATTCAAGATCGACTACTTATGACTTGAATTTGGCCACGTGATTTAACTTACTTAAGCCTTATCCCCTTTATTTATAAAATGAGTCTAATTCTATAACAGCAATTATTGTTGGGAGGACTGCCAACAATATGCCTCAGGTAAAGTACTTAGCACGGGTAATGGACTACAAAATATAGACTACAAAGTTACATTTATCTAATGTAACCCCCATACTTGACATTCATTTCCTTTTGAGAACCCCTTTCCTTTGTACTCTATTGTACTTCATTTATTTCTTTTTCATAAAACAAGTTGTTTCTTATTAGTGATTATATAAAGGTCATTCCCACTTGGCTGAGATCTGCTTACAGTCAGGAATCGTTACTCGTCTCTAGCACTCAGCACTTAACAAAGTTATTTGTAACATAAAAAGTGCTCAGTGTGTTTGTGGATTGAATGATGAAGAATGGGAGAATTGAGATATGATTAGACGAATGAGTATGAAAGACTGAGGCCGGGAGTGTTGGCCCACACCTGTAATTCCAGTATATTGGGAGGCTGAGGCCGGTGGATCACCTGAGGTCAGGAGTTTGAGACCAGCCTGTCCAACTTGGTGAAAACACATCTCTACCCAAAATACAAGAATTAGCTGGGCGTGGAGGCAGGCACCTGTAATCTCAGCTACTCCAGAAGCTGAGGCAGGAAAATCGCTTGAACCCTGGAGGCGTAGGTTGCAGTGAGTCGAGAACACACCACTGCACTCTGACCTGGGCAAAAAGAATTTTTGACATGAAACTCCATGTCAAAAAAAAAAATAGAGTATGAAAGAATGAATGGATAAAATTATAAGTACACCAAATAATAAGCAATTGTAACAAAGCTTGGGATAAAGGATTTAACATTTATGGAACATTTATGATTTTCTGAACAATTTATTGGCTATTTCACATGCATTATCATGTTAATACACCATCATGTTATTATGTTATAGAAGAGAAATATAAGGTGTAGGAAAGTAAAAACAAAAATTTAGCTCACACTTTTGTCTATACGCACTAGGTCTAAAATTCAAGTACAACTCTGTCTGAATTTAAGGTGCTCCTTTTTTCCCACTGCTCCATGCTAGTGATATGTGGATACTGAGTTAGAAAGTACATAGGAGTATTATCTTCCTGGTCTCTTAGTGTATTAGAATAAAAAAGTAAAGATGAAAGAATTATCCTCTTTGCACAACAGCCAGAAGATGAAGCACTACTCAATCTGGATATGCACAGTATTTTTAAAACACAGGTTTTCAAACAAACATTTTCTTTTTAATTTTTAAAATATTTAATATTTACAAATCTGAGAGATACCAAAAATGAAAAATGATGTCACCCCAAATCTCACTTCCTGTCATTGCAGCATGAAACCACAGGAACCCAAGACTCCAGCCTGCACTGTGGTCTGAAGCATAAAATTTATTTGATATTAAAAGAAAATTTAGGTGGAATAGAAGCAGTTAAGAAACAGAGGAAATATCAGGTGATTGTAGCCAAATTAAAAGATTTCAACTAAATATGAGAAATATTTTTAGTGAGAATAGGATTCTGTCAATTAACTCAACATCTCCATTGTTGTATCAATTCTTTTCCAGAAAACATGTTTTTGCTATGTTAGATGGTGATTCATCAGGGATTCCAGAGAGGAGACTTAAGAATAGAGCATATAATTGAGCTATTTTGATTTATCAGGTGGGCATTCTGATTTTAAAAAAGTTTTTTCAACAAGTGCCAAATAATACTGTGTATAAAAATTAGGGATGGAAGAGTCAAGATAAATAGAGAGAGATCTATGTAATACCTAATTATATGCTTATTCTGTCCTATGTTTACTTCAAATACACAGAAATATCCAAGTTCAGAAGGATGGTCTCTGCGTAAGCATTGTGATATGTCTTTTCCCTTCAAGAGAGAGTTCTATTTTCTCTTTCACTAATGGATTTACAGGCCTAAAAACAATAGTCCCTATGGTCAGAAGTCATAACTTTTAAAAAGCCTCAATGATTTCACTACAAAGACATTCTTTGATAAAATCCAAACTTCCTTGCTTGGAACTTTACCAAAATGGTTTGACAAGTATTCTTTCTTCTTTGATACTGCAAATAGTGAACTTCATCTTTTTAATACAAGGCAGAAATATTTGAAATGAAAAGTTTGGTGAGTATTTCCAACTACAATCAAGGCTGTGGTCTTCTAGAGGAGATACATTTTTAAAAAATGCTATATTTCTGGATTAGAGTGAATATTCTCAAAGTTGGAGAACCTATAAACATTTTTGAAGGATAACTCAGAGATTCTGTAGACAAAATATGTATAGGCTTATACAGATCATCACTAAAACATTATATATAATTTCTTGGCAAAAGTTTATGCTTTTGAAGAGGTTGATCTAAACTAAAATGTGAACAAAATGGAGCTTACAATAGAAGAGTGGTTATGAAATGCCTAAAAGGGAAAAAATATATATAGCAACCCATTCATATAGTGAATATTTGTAGGATATGGCTCTATTCTAGTATTTGAGAATGTAGTTTTAGATATTTGGAAGCAAAAATCAGTGATATAGCTTTCATGCCTTTCGGTATCTCTTAGTCTGTGGAGGTAAAGAATCTAGAAAAATGAGTAGATAATTGCAGGAATGTGAGGCATATTGGCATAGCAGCGTGAAAAGATGCCAGGAGAGGACTGAGCCTATAGCTCTTAATGGGCTGAAGGAGTCAGTGATAGTTATCCAAAATGACTGGCATTTTATTTTGTTCATGAAAGGTGAGTGGAAATTGAGTGGAAATTAGCCAGATGGATAAGGTGAGGCATATTCTGATGCAGGAAACCACAAGAAAACACACGTATGTGCACTTGGGACTACAAATTGTTCCTTATGGCTCTAATGGTTTTGTAGGACTCAAAGGCTGAGATACCAAGGCTCATGTTGCAGAGTGACAGCTGTTGCTGGGAAAGCCATGGTAGTTTGAGATCAGACCCTAAGCTATGTAGGGGAATGCACAGAAGCACATTTTATTTCTTATTTGCTGTCATTTTGAAGCCTCTTCAAATTACAGACACACACACATATATAGCTACATGTATAAGTTTAAATAGAAATTTATATAAATATAGATTTTATATGCTGTATAATTAGAATAATTTCCAAATATATGTGTATATATATTCACATGTAGTCGTCCTCCCTTATCTGTGGTTTCAGTTATCCATGGTCAATGATTGTCCAAAAATATAGGTGAGTTCAGTATCATAAGACATTTTGAAAGAGAGAGAGACTATATTCATACAACTTTTATTACAGTGCATTGTTTAAAATGTATTATCTTATTGGCTATTGTTGTTAATCACTTACTGTGCATAATTTGTAAATTTAACTTAATCCTAGGTAAGCATTAAGTTATTATGTATTAAGAAGAAAACATGATATAGTGTGTGGTGCTATCACAGCATGTGAGATGGTGCTATCATATGTTTTTAAGCGGTCTTAAAACATATCCCCCACATACAAGGGGGAACTACTATATATACCTAATACATATATACATATGCGAATATAAATTTAAAATACAAGTTTCAAGCTACAATTTTATTAATTGTTATGTGCTTGCAAAAGAGTACATTGATAATCGTCTTCCTACT